AAAGGATGAACACGTTCATACTGTATAGTAGAGGGAATATATCCAATATCCTGTGGTACATCATAATGGAAAAGAATATTAAAAAAGTTTGTACGGATGTGAGAGCTGGACCATAAAGAAAGCTGAGTGCTGAAGAATTGATGCTTTCAAGCTGTGGCATTGGAGAAGACTCTTGAGAGTCCCTTGGACTGCAAGGAGATCCAACCAGTCCATCCTAAAGGAGATCAGTTCTGGGTGTTCATTGAAAGGACAGATGCTGAAGCTGAAGCTCCAATACTTTGGCCACCTGATGCAAACAGTTGACTCATTGGAAAAGACCCTAATGCTGGGAGGGATTTGGGGGCAGGAACAGAAGGGGATGGCAGAGGATAAGATGGTTGGATGGCATCATTGACTCAATGGACATGAGTCTGAGCCAACTCCAGGAGACAGTGAAGGACAGGGAGGACTGGCAGGCTGCCGTCTATGGAATCGCAAAGAGTCAAACACGACTGGGTGACTGAATAACAACAATAACTGAATAACTTTGCTGTAGTGTAGAAATTAATACAGCATTGTAAATGAAGTATATTTCAATAAAATAAATTTTGAAGTATAAATACAGGTATTTTAATTTGTAGAGAATAAAATAACACACCTTAAAAATGCTTTGAAGGCTACCAGTGCACTCAGTTATGCTGTCAGATTAACATTTTTTTAGATTTGAAGTAAAATTTCTTCCACTATCCCTCATAGACTACAAAGTGAGCTTCTACAAACACATCTGGTATGATTTGCAGTTTTATTTTTGAACACCAGTTTTCACAATGCTTTACAGTTAAAATCAAGCATAGAAATAAGAGAGATACTCAGGGTAAACTAAACTGCACCTGTCATGCATAACCCTGGATAGAGTTCTTGCATCCATCCAAACAGCCACTCTGTTCATATTGATTGATTTTATGTTGAGTGTGTGTTATATATTTGAACTTCCAAAACATAGGTTGTGGGTTCTAAAGCATTTTGGAAAGAATTGGCACAACTGAAAGGAGGATTCTGCCTGAAAGACTCTCTGATGCCAGGTGTACAAGATGAAGCACAAGCGTGGTGTCATGGAGCGGGTGTCCTGAGCCCCAAACCCAAGAAGATCCTGATGGCCGCCCTCAGAAGGCAAGGCCACGCCAGCCGAGGGGAGGCAGCAGAGCCAGGGGAGACCAAGGGGCCAGATCCTGCCCAGCCCGTGGCCCTCATCCTGTCTTTCAAGTGCAAGTCTTGGACATCCATGAGCGTGTGGTCCTGTCTCCCTAAGTGCCTGCCAGCCACCGCAGGCCTGGCCAGACCTCTGGGCCAGATGTTCCTCCACCTCTGGGCTCTCCCTGGAGCCCCTGCGCAAGCCCCGGGGTGGTCTCTGCCCCCCTACCCCTCACCTCCAGTCGGAGCCCCTGTGTAGGAAGGATCAGGGTCTCCCAGGCTGCCCAGTTGGCGGCCCAGTGCTTGCCAGCCGCAAATAACCTTGGGACAGAGTTAACTGAACACAGCCTCTTCTCCTGGAGCCCCTTGATCACAGCAAATTAACAGCTGTCAGCTTCTCCCCGTATGTTCCTCATCCTGGTCAAGTAGCTCTCAAGTTGTGGCAGCAAAGTCATTTTGATTCATTTTTGACGCGAATCAAACTTTCAAGTTTGGACATGCTCTGAAACAAATCATACATTTCCTGTGACCTACTAAAATAATTAGTTCACCAGAGCAAGAGTCTGGATGTATGACTATAATCGTAGAAGGAATAATCGATATCACTTGTAGTGAAAGAGGTGTTTTCTCTGAAATTATTTCAGTTCTTTGGTGTAAATTCCTAACATTGAGTTCATCCATTCTTTTGGCCTGTCAATAGGCATTTACTGAATGACCTACACACCTTGTCATGCTAAGAAACAAAAGATCAGAATCCCTCACTGAAGAATCTCACAGTGTAGAAGAGATGGATGCTCAAACAAATAATAGCTAAACAATGTGATAATGGTATATTGTGCCAGTGTGTGTGCATCATTGATTTAATTGTGTTCTACTCTTTGAGACCCTATGGGCTGTAGCCTACCAGGTTCCTCTGTCCATGAGATTCTCTAGGCGAGAATACTGGAGTGGGTTGTCATGCCCTCCTCCAGGAGATCTTCCCAACCCAGGGATGAAACCTACATCTCTTAAGTCTACCTGTTTTGGCAGGTGGGCTCTTTACTGCTAGTGACCACCTGTGAAGCCCAATGGTATATTGGGCATAAATAGATGGTTCCATAAGAGTGTGAGAGAACACATAAATAATTAGAAATGGGGAAGCTAGGTTAATTCATATTTTGTTTTGTATTCATATAGTGTTTTGCTAACACTTTTTTTAATATAGTGATAAAAATTATGGTTTGAAATATATTATATTTGAATAAGCTTGATATAGAAATAAAACATTTATCACCATTAACTATTAAAATGCTAGTAATCAACATAGGGATAATGCCAATTTAAAAATATAAATTTTAAGAAACAAACATTAATAAAATTAAATTTTTATTTGAATAAAATATCTTTTTTAAAGAAATTCTTAATACTGAATTTTAGAAATATTCAGTTAATCTCACTTGACTATTACATGGTTCTTGTGTGTGTGTGTTAAGTGCACACCAATCTTTTTATTTTAATCATTTTGATGTAGATTTTCTCATTTGTGTGTTATTTAGAGCACATTAGATTCCCACAAGGTTTTCCTTTTAGACACAGTACACTCTGTACTACTTCCCCCTGAATTAATTGATATAATGAGCTGATGTAAATTACTTTCACTATTAGCCTGAGCTATTATTAAACATAACAATTTAGAAGGTAAACATACCACACAAAGGCATTTAAGTACTGAAATCCCAAATTAAGTATCAGGGATGATTTTTAGCTTTATGAAATATTGGGATGTCTGTATCATTGCTTCCTCCCATGGTCTGGAGAATCAGGACTATTGTATATGAATGCCTTCTGCTGAGGTCTATGCTTGTGCACCTGTAGAGGGAAGTTGCTATGGCAATAGACCTGAACAACCCTAGAGCACCCACCCACTGATCATGGTTCTGCCTCCTCCTTGCTGCTTTCTTGAGTTCTCTGCTGGGAACAGTTTTTAACATTTTAATTATAAAAAATGCAAGTCCTCTTTTAAGGCACAAGTGAAACGCTGTTAACTTTATTAGACCCTTTATTTATATTTTACCCATAACTACTCTAGTCTCCACATTGATGTAATATTTCATATGCTTTGATGACACATCAAATTCATCTTGTTATTGCATTTTGCATCAATCTTATCTCCCACCTCCATGTAAGTTATAGGGTCTTTGGAGAAGAAACACGTTTGGAGCCTGAATAATACCCAGTCCATATTCAGATAGACTATAAGTGCCTATTAAATGTAGAGTGAATTTTCCATCCCACCTCCTAAAAGTCCATCATTATCCTCTTCCAATGCTGTATTTTCCTCTTCATAATGTTCTTCCCCTCATTTTCTTTCCTTACAGTCTGTCTATTCATTGAGGTTCCACTAGAAGCACTTTATTGTAAGCTAGATCCCTCATATGAAACTCCATAGTGCATTACTTGTCCCTACCTCATGCCACTTTTTATTTCCACCTCATATTATGATTTTTGTGGATGCAACGTTTTACTTTTCTAGGCTTAAGCTCTTGAAAGGCAGCAAATAGAATCTTATTTACCTTCTGTTTCCCACAGTGCTCAATAATTGTTTGCTGCCTGATGAAAGATTTGTAAAGAGTTAGAAACAGCATTTCATGATAAATTGGGCTATGCCCTGCTAGGGTAGTTTTAGGCATGGCTGATGGTAAATTAAGAACAGGGAATGGAGAATAGTATCTCTGAGGTCAGTCCTATTCTATTTTACAGCAAGACACTGCCAGGGTTTTATGATTATTGATGTTTGAAGGGTGTTTGTCTATCAGTCAACCTGTGACCCACTATTATGGGTTCTGCCTTTTTAATATGGGTGGACTTTTCTGCTTTAGATAGTTTCCCGTTCAAATCTTGAAATTTTTTGTGAATGCTAATACATAAGAAGAAAATAATTTGTGCTATTGAAACAGTTTTCCAGAACAGATTCCAACTTAACTATGTCTAGTATACATACAAAGTATAAAATTGTGCCCTACAAGCTGTGGTTTAGATATTCATAGCTTCTGCTTGTTGGCCCTCTCTTTCTTGCTTATTAATTACCTACTTTAATTAATTAATTACCTACTTTATGAACATTATCTCCTAACCTCAAAACTATTTATCAGATAGGTATAATTACTCTATTTTTTCAAATGAGAATATTAAAGCTTAGAAAGATTAAATTACATTATCACAATTGGCCATCAAGGAAATGCAAAACAAAGATTTGAATACAAACTTGTATTTTTCCCCTATATTATACTTACTACCTTGTTACATAGATGGTTTTTCTTAGCCAGAAGGGCATAGGAGAAGGGGTAAGGGAGATTTAGAAATCTTTTCTTATACGGCTGGTCCATTCTATTTGTTATGACCATTTCAGAAACTCAAATTGCTCTTACAGAAAACACACAAAAAACAAAAGCCTTTCTGACTTGGTACTATTGGCTTTGGTACAGGATAGTACAGAAAACAAGATGGCTTATGTTCTGTCTCTCACAGGGAGGAAATTTAACTAGTGTCTTTGTCTTTGTACAAAAGAAAATAAAATGAATCTGTGATATGCAAATGAATCTCTCAACTGTTTGTTAATTTCTACTGTTTACTCAAAAATGGGAAACACCAAGACTGTGATACATCATCTTTTGTGTGTTTGGCACCTTCCATCATGAATCATATTAATCTGCTTAAACTAACAAGGATTAATTGCCTTGTTAAGGCAACCTGGCATTGAAATGATATATTGCCCAGACAGCTTGGAATTTGGCCACTCATAAATCTCATTTGCTTGCTGGTTTATTTCTGTTTGTCTCTTTCTCTGACAGATGTGTGCCCAATCACTGTGAGCATGGTGGGAAGTGCTCTCAAACGTGGGACAGCTTCAAATGCACTTGCGATGAGACTGGATACAGTGGGGCCACCTGCCACAACTGTGAGTGCCAATTTATCTCACTTTAAACGTGTAATTGCATGAGAATACTAGGTCTTCAGCTATGATTTTAAGCCCAGCAACCTGAATAATCCACACAGTCAATCACTTCATTGTGAAGCACCCAGATTTTATTGCTGCTTTTCTAGAATAGTATTCAAGTTGTCAAAATATATTCTCTCAAGCCTAATGACTCAAAAAGAAGTACCAACCTTTCCCATGTTCTGTAAACACACAGTTGAGATGGCAATGCTGATCTTGTATGTGCCTCTGTGTGTCTAAGCTGTGTCTTTTCTAGATAGATTGGAAAATTGTGTTATTGTGATGTCTCTGACTGGATTCTCATTTATTAGTTCATCAGAGAGGTAGACAGAATGTAATTTAAACATTTAGTTTCTGGACAGTATTGTCTCCTGTTCTTTTACTATGTTTGGCCACACTTTTTAGATCATAAAAATGAGCTGGAAAGTGGAATTAAGTCCATTGGAGTTGCATATCTAAAATAAAAGCACAAGACTATAATTTTTTAAATATCAAAAACTAAAAAGTAGCATGCAAAAATGACTTTTAAAGCATAAATGTGCCTTGTTTTACATAACAGCTTTACCCTGAAAAGTTAAATAATTTTTTTATTTTTGCAATTAAAATATTAAGATAAATGTTAATTTTATAATTGTAAAGTCAATTTTCCAATAATGCATAACTGCTTGCTAAGCACTTTTGAAGACGGATTTGCCATAAAACATATACATGAAAGGTCATCTGTTATGTAGTGTGTGTGTGTGTGTGTGTGTGTGTGTGTGTGTGTGTGTGTGTGTGTGTATGTGTGTAAGAGGGAGTGAGGAAAGAGACTGAGTCTTCTTCAATCCTTTCTCCATATGAAACCTAATATCTAAATCCTCTAATTTCAGAGAATGCTTTCTCTTCATTTCACTTTTAGAAGACAATAGCAAGCACAATATTACTAGAGTTCTGGTGACAGTAAAAATTCAAAAGTGTTCTCTGATCCTCTTCATATAATTATTTGTAGTAATGCTCAGTTCAGTTCAGTCACTCAGTAGTAATGTACAATCAGACATTGTGTTCAGTGTATATTTTAATACCTCAACTAAGAAAAAAAATCTGTAATTTATTTTACTGCACTTATTAATTTGTTTATGATGATATTTTTAAAAAAGAGACAGAAAAAGAGCCCTTAGAAAAATTAACATTGATAGGAAGATATACAAGAGAGGTAAGACACTTAGCAGATTCATTTTCTATAAGGGATTTATGTATAGGTATATAAAAATATTTCAATGAATAAAGAACAAAAATGATTGAAATTAAAATTAATTAGAATAAAGGACTTATAACTAAAATTATACCCTTTCAGTCACATCAAAACTTTCAGCCTATGACATTTGTTGTGTGATATCTGATAATGAATTAAGTAATTTTGATGAAACTGAGTACTTTCACTCCACCAGTAGAGTGTGTACAATGTGTTACATGTGCTATAAATGCCACCTTTAACTATGACAACCTTGTTTGTTAAAAATGGAAGTTCTAACTAAAGAAAATTGGTGGTGGTTACAAGTGCTTCTGATCTCAGTGACCACTTTGCTATTTAATGTAAAAGCAAATAACTTTTTATAGCTGCTTATTTCCTTGAATACACAATAAAGACACTTAAAATGTTAATTTTTTTTCATTTATTTTTATTAGTTGGAGGCTAATTACTTTACAATATTGTAGTGGGTTTTGTCATACATTGACATGAATCAGCCATGGATTTACATGTATTCCCCATCCCGATCCCCCCTCCCACCTTCCTCTCCACCAGATTCCTCTGGGTCTTCCCAGTGCATCAGGTCCAAGCACTTGTCTCATACATCCAACCTGGGCTGGTGATCTGTTTCACCCTAGATGATATACACGTTTCGATGCTGTTCTCTTGAAACATCCCACCCTTGCCTTCTCCCACAGAGTCCAAAAGTCTGTTCTGTACATCTGTGTCTCTTTTTCTGTTTTACATATAGGGTTATCGTTACCATCTTTCTAAATTCCATATATATGTGTTAGTATACTGTAATGGTCTTTGTCTTTCTGGCTTACTTCACTCTCTATAATGGGCTCCAGTTTCATCCATCTCATTAGAACTGATTCAAATGAATTCTTTTTAATGGCTGAGTAATATTCCATGGTGTATATGTACCACAGCTTCCTTATCTATTCGTCTGCTCATGGGCATCTAGGTTGCTTCCATGTCCTGGCTATTATAAACAGTGCTGCAATGAACATTGGGGTGCACGTGTCTCTTTCATATCTGGTTTCCTCGGTGTGTATGCCCAGAAGTGGGATTGCTGGGTCATATGGCAGTTCTATTTCCAGTTTTTTAAGAAATATCCACACTGTTTTCCATAGCAGCTGTACTAGTTTGCATTCCCACCAACAGTGTAAGAGGGTTCCCTTTTTTCCACACCCTCTCCAGCATTAATCGCTTGTAGACTTTTGGATAGCAGCCATCCTGACTGGCATGTAATGGTACCTCATTGTGGTTTTGATTTGCATTTCTCTGATAATGAGTGATGTTGAGCATCTTTTCATGTGTTTTTTAGCCATCTGTATGTCTTCCTTAGAGAAATGTCTGTTTAGTTCTTTGGCCCATTTTGTGATTGGGTCATTGATTTTTCTGGACTTGAGCTGGAGGAGTTGCTTGTGTATTTTTGAGATTAATCCTTTGTCTGTTGCTTCGTTTGCTATTATTTTCTCCCATTCTGAGAACTGTCTTTTCACCTTGCTTATAGTTTCCTTTGTTGTGCAAAAGCTTTTAAGTTTCATTAGGTCCCATTTGTTTATTTTTGCTTTTATTTCCACTATTCTGGGAGGTGGGTCATAGAGGATCCTGCTGTGATTTATGTCAGAGAGTGTTTTGCCTATGTTCTCCTCTAGGAGTTTTATAGTTTCTGGTCTTACGTTTAGACCTTTAATCCATTTTGAGCTTATTTTTGTGTATGGTGTTAGAAAGTGTTCTAGTTTCATTCTTTTACAGGTGGTTGACCAGTTTTCCCAGCACCACTTGTTCAAGAGGTTGTCTTTTTTCCATTGTATATCCTTGCCTCCTTTGTCGAAGATAAGGTGACCATAGGTTCGTGGATTTGTCTCTGGGCTTTCTATTCTGTTCCATTGATCTATATTTCTGTCTTTGTGCCAGTACCATACTGTCTTGATGACTGTGGCTTTGTAGTATAGTCTGAAGTCAGGCAGGTTGATTCCTCCAGTTCCATTCTTCTTTCTCAAGATTACTTTGGCTATTCGAGGTTTTTTGTATTTCCATACAAATTGTGAAATTATTCGTTCTAGTTCTGTGAAAAATACCGTTGGTAGCTTGATAGGGATTGCATTGAATCTATAGATTGCTTTGGGTAGTATAGCCATTTTGACAATATTGATTCTCCCAATCCATGAACACGGTATGTTTCTCCATCTGTTTGTGTCCTCTTTGATTTCTTTCGTCAGTGATTTATAGTTTTCTATGTATAGGTCTTTTGTTTCTTTAGGTTGATATACTCCTAAGTATTTTATTCTTTTTGTTGCAATGGTGAATGGTATTGTTTCCTTAATTTCTCTTTCTATTCTCTCATTGTTAGTGTATAGGAAATAAGGGATTTCTGTTTGTTAATTTTATATCCTACAACTTTACTATATTCGTTGATTAGCTCTAGTAATTTTCTGGTAGAGTCTTTAGGGTTTTCTAGGTAGAGGATCATGTCATCTGCAAACAGCGAGCGTTTCACTTCTTTTTTTCCTATCTGGATTCCTTTTACTTTTTCTGCTGTGATTGTTGTGGCCAAAACTTCCAAAACTATGTTGAATAGGAGTGGTGAGAGTGGGCACCCTTGTCTTGTTCCTGATTTCAGGGGAAATGCTTTCAATTTTTCACCATTGAGGGTGATGCTTGCTGTGGGTTTGTCATATATAGCTTTTATTATGTTGAGGTATGTTCCTTCTATTCCTGCTTTCTGGAGAGTTTTAATCATAAATGGATGTTGAATTTTGTCAAAGGCTTTTTCTGCATCTATTGAGATAATCATATGGTTTTTGTCTTTCAATTTGTTAATGTGGTGTATTACATTGATTGATTTGTGGATATTAAAGAATCCTTGCATTCCTGAGATAAAGCCCACTTGGTCATGATGTATGATTTTTTTAATATGTTGTTGGATTCTGTTTGCTAGAATTTTGTTAAGGATTTTTGCATCTATGTTCATCAGTGATATTGGCCTGTAGTTTTCTTTTTTTTGTGGCACCTTTGTCTGGTTTTGGAATTAGGGTGATGGTGGCCTCATAGAATAAGTTTGGAAGTTTACCTTCTTCTGCAATTTTCTGGAAGAGTTTGAGTAAGATAGGTGTTAGCTCTTCTCTAAATTGTTGGTAGAATTCAGCTGTGAAGCCGTCTGGTCCTGGGCTTTTGTTTGCTGGAAGATTTCTGATTACAGTTTTGATTTCCTTGCTTGTAATGGGTTTGTTAAGATCTTCTATTTCTTTCTGGTTCAGTTTTGGAAAGTTATACTTTTCTAAGAACTTGTCCATTTCTTCCAAGTTGTCCATTTTATTGGCATAGAGCTGCTGGTAGTAGTCTCTTATGATCCTTTGTATTTCAGTGTTGTCTGTTGTGATCTCTCCATTTTCGTTTCTAATTTTGTTAATTTGGTTCTTCTCCCTTTGTTTTTTAATGAGTCTTGCTAATGGTTTGTCAATTTTGTTTATTTTTTCAAAAAACCAGCTTTTAGCTTTGTTGATTTTTGCTATGGTCTCTTTAGTTTTTTTTCATTTATTTCTGCCCTAATTTTTAAGATTTCTTTCCTTCTGCTAACCCTGGGGTTCTTCATTTCTTCCTCCTCTAGTTGCTTTAGGTGTAGAGTTAGGTTACTTATTTGACTTTTTTCTTGTTTCTTGAGGAAGGCCTGTAATGCCATGAATCTTCCCCTTAGCACTGCTTTTACAGTGTCCCATAGGTT